AACACTGTAAGATATATCACAGAGAGTACAGATATATCACAGAGAGTAAGATATATCACAGAGAGTACAGATATATCACAGAGAGTACAGATATATCACAGAGAGTAGATACAGATATATATATCAGAGAGAGTACAGATATATCACAGAGAGAACACAGATATATCACAGAGACAGATATATCACTGTAGGATATATCATACAGATATATCACAGACAGATATATCACAGAGAGAACACTGTAAGATATATCACAGAGAGTACAGATATATCACAGAGAGTACAGATATATCACAGAGAGTACAGATATATCACAGAGAATACAGATATATCACAGAGAGAATACTGTAGATATATCACAGAGAATACAGATATATCACAGAGAATACAGATATATCACAGAGAATACAGATATATCACAGAGAGTACAGATATATCACAGAATACAGATATATCACAGAGAATACAGATATATCTCAGAGAATACAGATATATCACAGAGAGTACAGATATATCACAGAGAATACAGATATATCACAGAGAGTACAGATATATCACAGAGAATACAGATATATCACAGAGAATACAGATATACAAGTCAAAACATTGATTACACAACAATCTTGTTTCCTGCTGACTGGACATGGGTTCCGTCCTATTGCGCAGCTTAGTACAATAACCAGTCCAGAATGTTTAGACCAACTCATTCAACTGGATATATAAATATTGATCAGTATTACTTGATACATCTAAGCACTTGTATATTGCAACACTACGCTCCTTCTAATCCTTGCAAACACGTCGTGCAGCGTGATCTGTCGAACAGTGTGCTCTGACAAACGGAAATGTGGAAATCGTAAAAATCTCAGAACGAGGCTCGGCCCCTAGAAAAGTTTGGCGGTCTGGTACGGACTTGATATTATAACCACCACATTGTAGTTACAAAAATACACTTAATAAGCGCAAGTGACACATAACAGGTGTAACCAGTCAGCCAGATGAATTGTTAATCACTGTACGACCACTTCAAACAGGGGAAGTCCGTGACGTCTTAGTTAAAGACATGCTGCCTAAACCTCCACATAAAATATAGAAATGCAATTTTTTTTAAACTTTAAAATTAAAATTAATTTGTAAATACCAATTTCTTATGAAACAAGGAATTGGGTTTTAGTGTAACCATAGTTGTTTGTAGTGTCTCTTTTCACTTTCACACGAGAAAATTCGGATTGGCTGAAAAGTAGGTCATTGTCTGAATTGGTTAATGAGACTCATGTTTCGGTTTGCACAGTACAAATATGTCATAGAAAGTACAGATATATCACAGAAAGTAAAGATATGAATATAGAATACAGATATAACACAGAGAGTACAGATATGAATATAGAATACAGATATAACACAGAGAGTACAGATACATGTATATCACAGAGAATATATATATTAACAAATAGTGGAACTGTATCACAGATATATTACAGAGCGTGCAGATACAGGCAACACAAATATGAACGTGTTTATTGTCAACATGTTCTATAGCATTATCTGGAAACGTATCCGTAGCCAATTATCAAAGAAAGAAAATACACATAAATAGGTTTAACGACGTCCGGAGCGAATGGCACATCTTCCGGTTTTTATACATGTCTGGAAACCTGTTCTCGCACACCAGGGGCTTTCGTTCAAGGTCCGCCAGAGCATTGCGCTCACAGGATGCAGCAATCAATCAATCAAGATCGATTTGTGATCAATTTGCGATAATTAGCGTAAGTCGTTTCGTGTTTGTTGTCTAGTGAAATGTGACAATGATAGGCTATTACTTGTCAGGTGCTTTCTCGCACTTCAATAATAAATGACTGATTGAAATGAATGACCGCCAAACCGGGCCGCTCTGCATTAGGCTAGTCGATTATGTATGCTTCGAGGCATTCCTTTACCAACTGAAGATTCAAGAGAAACAAAACTGATACCCTTAAAACGTTAGGAATTGTTCTAGGTGCCATTCGGTGCAGACCTTTCTCGGGTTTTGTTGTCTCAGCTCTTTTAACGTTCGAATACTCTTTGGTCCCGTGATGTACAAACAGTCCGTCACTTAATGTTGGCTACATACATGTCGATGTGACATCTCTCCAACTCCTTGGATGAATCTTTCATACCCTATACGGTGTTTACGCACAGTTTGAGTGCAGCTGAACAACGAATAACGTGAAGAGGCAAGATATAAGTGTTGTCATCAATCAAATCTTTGAAAGGGAGAGCTACGAGTGCTCTAGCGTAAAATTAATTTACATCATTGATCGAAGGGAGTGTAAAGACAGATAATGGGGTTGGGTAAACATTTCTCGTCATTTTGTGCTGTTACAGAAAGAAGGCGATAAATTCCACTGTATTGTGTGTTTGTTAGCTACAACTACCCGACATGTGCACGTGATGATGTTATTATGTAACAAATACTTACAGATATCAGGTGACACTTCAGTAACAAAACACCTGAAAATGTTACCCGGTTACCGACAGAGTGGAACCAATTCAGTCAGGGTGGGAGATTGTCATTGCTTTTCAAGGTGATGATGGGTGCAGTATAGCGATTGAGTGAGTATGGTTTTACGCCGCTTTTAGCAATATTGAAGCAATATCACGACAGGGGACACCAGAAATGGGCTCCACACTTTGTACCCATATGGGTACCTCACCGCCCCGAATGCAGTATAACATTACAAGGCAGAATAAGGACGTTACTTTCATAACAGGAATAAAAAGTAAAACCGCATCCCAAAAGGTAAGTGTTGAAGGGTCCCTTGAAACCCCACTTCCCACCTAATCTATGACGAGGTGGAACACGAAGTGCAGTTCCGACACAATGACCTTGACCCGTGGTGATCCGAGTTGGAATTGGTCTGAGCAATGCATTCTTGTCCTGAGAGGCGACCGGCGAGATCGATTGATCAGGATCGGTGATTCGGCTGATTGGCATTCCAACTGTTTAGATCGATGCGCGTAATGTCACCCACTGGATTGTCTGGTCGAGACCCGATTAATCACAAACCGCCACAACATAGCTGGTACATTGCTAAGTAGGGCGTTAATCTACATACAAACAAGTCAAGAATATGTTACAATGTTTCGATGACTATAGACGACACTTTGACTAGAGTAGGAAGCGTTATATACAGGAATTTAAGAGTGACTAGGTGTTGTATCAGTTATATATCAGAGCACTGGGCCTCATGTTGTCGAGTAAAATTTTAGTTTTATAGAAGAAAGAAAGCACAACACACTGCTCAGGTAGCCACTGAAATGCCACGGAATCACTTGCAGCTTTTTTTTCACACAATGAGTTGTGATGTCGTTTTCCAGTCTCACTACGTTTTCACATTTATCGTTTAACTAAATGATTTATAAAGACTTCCATGCCATTGAAAATATGTTGAGTTACCCACAGTTCGAAACAAACAAGTGCCAATGCCAGGACCAGTCTTTCTGCTGGTGAGAATTCCGTCTGAACCAGATCGACACTTTGTCTTTACCAGTCATAGCGGTTAATCCATACGTACGGTTCTTAGCGCAAGCGTCCGGAATAACTCTTGTCCGGATTAACGGGTTCTCAGTACACAGAAATATCACTTAAATGATTTATAGACCTTAGGAAGTGCGCTTAGGAAGTGCGCTAGCGGCGTCAGTACTAACGAAGTTGGACAGCTATTTGGCATCCCGGCCAGTAAATAGTGATTCAAAATATATTATCATAATATACTCGCTCAGTGGGTGAGATTTCATTATGGCCGTGTGATCCACCATGTTTGGTTACTCTTGTCAATATTTTTAGCACATAAATTTTGCTAAAAGGAAAGTCAACAATGCTTTACTTTCTGCATAGGAATTAGCGTTAAAGTCTAGTGAGTTTTATACGTGGCCACTCGAACCCACTAAATCCAATCTAGCAACTGAATGTGATCGGCCTCAGAGCTGCCAGTCACAAGTAAACTGGGATACAGTCTAGTCATATCGACAGTTGCGCTCACTCTTCTTCCTTCTAGGCCATTGACAAAGGGTAGCATGTACCGTTCAAGCTGACCACAACTTTCCCGAAGATTAGTATCACCTCGATCTACGCCCAGTCCTAATTTATCGTCATTTAGTGACTATTTTGAGAAAATTGCCTCCAGCGGTGGTATGTTATGATTTGCCTCGTTGATAATCAGTGCGAAATCATCGGTCATCACGGCTAACAGAGGAATATACTTCATCACAGTATATATGATTTATGTTTTATCGTGCACTTTCATAGCTGATTTATGTAGCCGGGCTATTTTTAAACCAACAGCGACGTATATTGATGTTTTACATGATTCAATCTAATTTGCCAGTGGCCCTGTAAAATAACGCATTGGCTCTCGGGTGACGCAGTCTTAATTGTTGCTGGACCATGTACTTCAGTTTTTCATTCGAAGGAATTGTCACTGTTTGTGAGTTGGATTGAGCGCCATTTTGTCCACAGTCAGTATCCCAGTTACGTCACGGCGTGTCGGCAGCGGGAGAGACTGCACCAGCCGGGATTCGAACCACAGACCAGAGGTTTCTGGCTCAACCCTGCACGTAGAATAGAGATACCTTATAGACGACGCACTGCTTAAGAAGGTGGCAGCGAGTGTCGTCGATCCATACAAACTACAGTAGTTGAAGTGTTGCTCCGACATGCCAAACATCAGGCTCGATTCCTTCTAAGGGTACGAAGTCAGTTTGCGATCATCTCCATTGTGAATATTGTTTTCAGCGGAAGTTAATCGTAATCAACCATCAAACAAATCTTCCTCCCTCACATATATCGGCACAATATATTCAAGGGTCAGTCCGCGTCATTTCAAGAAATACTAACATATCTAATCTATCCATGCACATACTATACGAGTCAGTCTCCAGATCATAATAACAGTTTCACTCAGAAAACCACTGATGTGTCAGAAGCTTTCAAGGAGTATAAAAATGACTTGTACACAAGGTCACAGCGACAGTTTTATTTGATAGCGATGCATGCGTCATTCGCAAGGAAGAGTTACTTCCCTTAGATTCCGTGCGTGTTTCTTGAATAGCTTCGATTTATGAACCTTGGGCATTCAACACAATTGGCTTGGATGACGTAAGTGGTTTTGATGTCCTAAGTGGTTTGGATGTCCTAAGTGGTTAACCTTTATGGTCTGCTAGTCTCGTTAGTTCTCGTCACTGTCCCTCCCTAAAACAGTAAAATATGACGGGAATCGCGATTTTTAATGAAGTGTGCTCGAAAATTAGTGAGTGAGTGAATATTTCTTAACTGCGCATCAGCAACTTTGCATCTGTTCGCGGTGAGGCTTGAAAACGAACCGGAAACCTATGTTCAATAATTCAAACATTTTAATTTATTTGCAATGTACAACATGGAATATCAAAACTACACTGCTGCCTGGGGTAGTATTTAGATAAGTGAATTAGCTATGTTGGTAGTACTCACGTCCATGTCGACACACGTGGTGTAGTTTGTCCACTCCTGGTGTGTGTGAGGGTCTCGGAACCAGGTGGCGTTGCTGGTGCAGAGTTTGTCGGCGTTAACTGCAACAAAAACACAGAAGCAAGTTAATAGGGACGCCTACCTGCATGTGCAGAATAAAGGCGACAATGCCCTTTCAACATTCATAAGAAATCTATGCTAAAAAACAGAGTCGATTGTACAATTCTGACTATATCACGAGTATTTATCTGTCTCAGCGGTATCACAGCTGTACGGTGTTGTTTGTAAACAAATCGAGTCTGGGCCAGACAATCCAGTGATATGATGACAGAGCATGTGTTCATGAATCGTTATGAGACGGTCATGACACCAGGTGTTCGCGCTTCCTCCTGGCCTGTGTAACAGTCAGCTTCTGTACCTTAGCTTTGGTAATGGCAGCTGTTTATGAGCCAAGCCGGGTAAATTGGCATTTTTGACCTTTACGACAAGCATGGGATAAAGAGGATTATTGTCTACCCGGGGTTTCAATACTGCAAATACTGACGTCATCGTAAGGTGAAGCACATCACGAAAGTATTGGTTCCACGCATAATATACTCTCCCAATATAGAAACGCATCATGAAAATAGCAATTTCATGTACCAATGAATTAAAACGTGATTCAATTTACAAAAGGATTTGCCCTGTTTATGAGTCCTATGGCGTTTATGTTTTGAAACATCACAACCAAACGCACCATCCGTAAAATACCCGTATTTAACAGCATCATTTTCAATTTCGGCGTGTAGTGTCACAGAATACACAATTCACATGCAATGCACGTGAAAGTTGGGGATCAGATAGTCTCAATGATGGGCATAAAAGGTTGATCGCTCTCTGTCGCTTATTCACTGTATTTGGAATATTGTTGACGAACGCGAAATGCCCTGTGCTTCGACAACAACATCGTCGACATCGAGTTCAATGGTGCACCAACGTTCAGGTCTGGAACCTACCGAATTGGCGTAGAATCTGGTTCAGTGATGAATCACGATTTCTACTGGAACGACGCGATGGAAGAATGCGGGTGTACAGACGCCGACGTGAACGTCTCGCCGTCGCTTGCGTTCCCCAGGTGGACAGATTCGGCCGGGACAGTGTTATGATGTGGGGGGAGATCACCTGCCGTAGGTGAAGTGATTTGGTGATGATCCAGGGCAACCTGACAGCTCAACGGTACTGTGACGAAATCCTACGCTCACACCTCCTTCCAATCATTGATCGCCAGAGGGAGTTGATTCAACAGGACAATGCCAGGCCCCACACAGCACGTCACACTAGAGACTTCCTCCAGAACCACAACATCAATGTGCTCCCCTGGCCCTCAAGATCACCGGACTTAAACCTGATCGAACTTCTGTGGGATGCCCTGGACAGACGGGTGCGACGCCGTAACCCTCAGCTCCAGACACTTCAGCAACTCGCACAGGCACTACAGGCAGAGTGGGCTGCGATTGGGCAACACGAGATTCTCAGACTTATTCGTTCGATGCCGAGGCGATGCCGAGCAGTTCTGGATGTCCACTGTGGTCACACGAGGTATTGACTTCAGCGCCACCACACGTCTTCATGTGACACTCAAACTGACTTTCCTCGGGTTGGTGCCAAAGACGGATAAGTCTGCATTCCCAGTGTGCAATTTCACTATATTTCATTGACTCATAAAGCCTACAAGATATTTCAAAATAAACATAAAAATACAGTTGAAATTCCTATATGCGTTTCTTTTTTGGGAGAGTATATATTATAATGCCTGAGCTTTGACAAAATACATTTTTAATACATAGATGTTTCAAACCGAGGTGTGAAAACTAACGTTAAGGCATGTCTGAACTGCCAACTTATCACGACTAAGGATTTTTTCAACACTTTCATGTTTGGCATCATAAAAGACTAGACAAAAGACGGTGTGATGAAAAGCTGATTTCAGTTGGCTGCGATGGCAGTAGGGTTCTAAGATCTAAATGTTACCTTCGACGAGCCCATCTGATGAAATACGAATGAGTACGTGTACGAATAATTGAGTGCATGAATAATTAAGTGAGTATATGAATAACTGAGACTGACTGACTGAGTTTGGCTTTACGCCGCTTTTAGCAATATTCCAGCAACATCACGGCGGGGGACACCAGAAATGGGCTTCACACATTGCACCCATGTGGGGATTCGAACCCGGGTCTTCGGCGTGACGAGCCAAAGCTTTAACCATTGAGAGTATGAATGAGTAAGTGTATACATTTATGAGTGTGTGAATGAGTGAGTGTAAGAATAAATGAGTGGATGTTTGAGTGAGTATGAACCTGTTAACATGAACGCATTTATGAACTGAGGGAGTGTATATATGAGTGAGTGAGTGAGTGAGTATGGTTTTATGCCGCTTTTAGCAAAAGCAAAAGCACTGTCTCCACTAGGCTAACTGTTTCTCGGAACTCTTTCAAGAAAGAACAAGGAAGGCGACAATGTGATACTGTATTTTCATACAATTCACTGTGAATTCTTTTTCGGAAAGCATTAAAACAACAAGATCAGTGCCCGAGTCTTCAATCGATAAGAGATAACAAGATTTAGTTAAGCAATACTTTAAACTTGAGGATGTTCTTGCAACACCTTCTCTCCATATCTCCATAACAAATTAACCACAACGCAACTCGGAGATCGTGTTGCTTGTGCTTACGACAAATGTCTTTGCACTGAAAAACTAAATAAAGCCGTCTATTTGGACAGATTCAAGCGTCTATTTAGACAGATGTAGATCCAACTGGTGTTAGATATACAAGCTACACTCCGGACTTGGTGGAATGGCCTCACTACTGGTATGAACACAGGCGGTAGAGGGGACGGTAGATACAGTGTGTTGGAGACAGAAACGTTGTTAGATTGGGTTACGTTAGTGTAACCCAGTTGTTACTAATTACTCTCACCGGTGTATTAGGCTGAAGTTACAGTTACGTGTTGAATAGTTAGTAAACCGGATATCTGACGCAAGACAATTTGCTCTAAGAAATTAGACATAATCAACAATTGCGTGAGAGAGAGATTGCTTCTGTGTAGTGAAGCCAGTATGACAATATACCCCAACATGGCCAGTATGACAATATACCCCAACATGGCCAGTATGACAATATACCCCAACATGGCCAAAAGGGGCGTCTGATAATTTCACGATTAACAGGACTTGTTGGTGATAAGTGTTGAGCCAGTTTCAGAAAGAATATAGTATTCTTTATATATGTTTGCATCAATAACTACGTTAGACGTATACTGATACTACAACGTTCATTTAGAAAAGCCCACAATGATTTGGAAGCTTGGTTTCAATACAATTGTGCAGATTTCTTGAAGTAATGAGATCTTGGCTCAAGGTAAGTTAATGTGATTTATATAGCGTGTGAAGTCCGACATAATGTTATCAGGGCAGTGACACGAACAAACGGCCCAGCCTCAGGTCCATCTCTGGCAGTTGAAGACTGATGCTAGGTTTCCGTGGAAACACCGGCTGAATTTAAAACAATAAGCATACTTTGTGTTCAATAACAGACTACTCACGCAATCAACTCGTCTCTCACACTCTACATGTAAACATCCTAATGTTAGAAAGGTGGCACAGATTCCCGGTATCAGCGTCAATCGGTATGCTAGATATCGCTACATCCGACATTCCCAGGAACTGATAGTCAGAGTACGTGTCCGTACGTGTCCATTACAATGCACGTCTCACTCAGGGAGTGTTTACTATCCTCAAACGTCAGCTTGTGACACATGGTAAATTAATTATTACAATCTCTGCATCTCGAAAGTGCCTGATGACAAATGACTGTTTGTGTCCCTCTCTGTCTTGTTTATCTTGAGTCTCCCACATGCCTTGAATAGCTCTTTAAGTGATGTACATAATATATTGTTTCCAATTTCATAGTATTGAATATGTACACTTTCATTCCTGTTTCTTGTACGTACTATTGATAGATACCTGTATAGACCGGATACTTCAACACGCTATTGCTTGATACCTGTATAGACAACATATTGAATACGATGTAACTAGATATGAGTACGTACAAGATACTTGAAGACACTATTGGTAGAAACTTGTGCATACAATATGCTTCATGCAAGATGCTTCATACAAGATGCTTCATACAAGATGCTTCACACACGATGCTTCACACAAGATGCTTCATGCAAGATGCTTCATACAAGATGCTTCATACAAGATGCTTCATGCAAGATGCTTCATGCAAGATGCTTCATACAAGATGCTTCATACAAGATGCTTCACACAAGATGCTTCACACAAGATGCTTCACACAAGATGCTTCACACACGACGATGCTTCACACAAGATGCTTCATATGCTTCACACACGATGCTTCACACAAGATGCTTCATACAAGATGCTTCATACAAGATGTTTCACGATGCTTCTACTTTCACACACGATGCTTCTACAATAGACAAGATGCTTCATACAAGATGCTTCATACACGATGCTTCACACAAGATGCTTCATGCAAGATGCTTCATACAAGATGCTTCATACAAGATGCTTCACACAAGATGCTTCACACACGATGCTTCACACAAGATGCTTCATACAAGATGCTTCACACACGATGCTTCACACACGATGCTTCACACAAGATGCTTCATACAAGATGCTTCATACAAGATGCTTCACACACGATGCTTCATACAAGATGCTTCATACAAGATGCTTCACACACGATGCTTCATACAAGATGCTTCATACAAGATGCTTCACACACGATGCTTCATACAAGATGCTTCATGCAAGATGCTTCACACAAGATGCTTCATACAAGATGCTTCATACAAGATGCTTCATACAAGATGCTTCATACAAGATGCTTCATACAAGATGCTTCATACAAGATGCTTCACACAAGATGCTTCATGCTTCATACACGATGCTTCACACAAGATGCTTCATACAAGATGCTTCATACAAGATGCTTCATACAAGATGCTTCACACACGATGCTTCACACACGATGCTTCACACAAGATGCTTCATACGAAGAAGCTTCATACAAGATGCTTCACA